TCATCATCATCATCATCATCATCATCATCATCATCATCATCATCATCATCATCATCATCAACAGAAACAACAACGACAATCACAACAACAATAACAACAACAACAGCAACAACAACAACAACAACAACAACAACTACTACAATAACAACAAGAACAACAGCATTGAAAATAACAATAATAACAATAAGGCAACATTAACAGTGAAGGGAAGGAAAAGAACAACGACGACAACAACAACAACAACAACAACGAGACGACAACGACCAACGATGACGACAGCAGCAACTACAACAACAGCAGTAAGCTTTATTTCTGTGATTCCCATACCTCGTCCGGACCACAATCCTCCTGTGGGTAGCCAAACCTTTGACCATCCACACAGTCAGGACTTACAGGACTCGTGCGCTCCGCCATCCTGTTTTCCCTTCTTCCTCTTCCTCTTTTGCTCAAACGGCAGTTGACGGATGGTTCACACCGGCAGACAGTTCGCGCTTCCCCAGAGGTGAGAGCAGTCACTTGTTGGTCCCGGTTATTCAAATCTCGGGGGTAGTCCAAATGATGGCGCGGAAGAGAGTCTCCTGAGCTTGTTTCTGTTGGTCTATCGAACCGCTGCCTCTTTTTGTCTGTGACCTTTGGCGGTTTGCGTTCAAAAACGTTGGATTTTATAGCACTCTCTTTTACAACAGGTTGATGCCAACACCTTTCGGAACAATAAACCAAATGTTTGTTCGTTTTCTTGCACAGCTCGATTTCCTTTATGTCTGAAATTGATTCGCCAGAACACTTCTCTAGCCGCGACTTTGGTAGAAAACCAGGTGAAGTGAAATGTTTTACATAGCTTAGACAGTCTAGTGGGATGAAAAAAGTCTGAATAACAACTACTATCTGGGTTGAGGTGTCTACAGAGCTGTCGTTACTCCGGGTGATTTGGAAAGACGAGCCCTGTGGCAACCGTCGGAAGCCGACTTCTATAGATTGTGATTCCTGTCCGTGCCTGATCAGATTTCTGCTCATCAATTTGGGAACCGAATCAGAACTAAATTCTCTACATAATCTTTTTGACAAAAATTCGTTAAATAAGGAATTGCTCAAGGATCGTTCTTTGTTCCTCTGTCCTTTCGGTGATATGACGGAACAAAAACTCGAACTATCCTCTTCTGGAAGTTTGTTTGCGCTATAATAGTATGTTTTGCAAGTCTCTGGGTTTAATAGATTTGACTCTTTGCTAAAGTCACCGCCGGCAAAGTTACTATCTTTTGCTTTGATCTTGGGGACAAAGGGCGCCTTTCTCGATCCTCTCTTCCTCTTGTTGATGTTTTGGCAAAAATGAGAAACAAAAGGCTGGTAGGTTGGTTGAGGGTGGGGAAGAGGGTGGGAATGGGTGAGTGG